ATGAACCATGGTTTTGTGATTCAAAATAGCTAATCCCAGTTCATTTCAGCTCACTAATGTGTAGGACATCAACCTTTGTGTATTCCATTTCATTTTTGATGGCTTCCAATTTTTCTATATACATACATTGTACATTCTAAGTTCCGATTGTTAATTGATGTTTGCCGCTGTTTCTTCTCACGTTGAGTTGTGCCCCATCAGCAAATGAAGATCCCGAAGGCTTCCCTCCATTCCCGTCACCATGATCCATTACGTTGAGAAGGCAGCACCTCCTCAATCGCATGTTAAGTGCCTTCTCACCCAAGGGGCCATCGTCAGGCACTATCTCTGACCATGTTTTGCTTCCATTCATTAGGCCTTCAGTGTCTGACAATGTTTCCGTGCTGTGCATAAGGTTTTCTGTGACTCCTTCAGCTATCAGTGGACAGCTGATTCCGGTTTCATAGTAATAATTAGTCCAGCGGAATAACGAAACACAAAAACATCAGTCCTCACCACCTTGATGTCAAAAGAACTAGATGGTAACCCACGACCACTGTGGAAAAATGGTAGCTATTGTTTTTTTAAACCACTGTGGGGGGAAAATGTGGAATAGAACTAAAAATCATAAAATGGGCCAGGCTTATTGATTTGATAGAGAGTGGTGCAGGCCCCAAGACTATGACTCCACATCACTAGTCAGATCTGAAACTGAACTCACCCCTGTGTTAGAAAAATCAATCATTTAAGATCAAAAGATGTACAATCACTGTGAAACTGCTGTGGCAATACCCGAACTAAATGGGAACAGAAATTTAAAGCATGGTTCACAATACAGAGAAATTGAAAACAACCCCAAGCCTATAAATAAAGATAACTAAACTTTGGTACATACACATAGCAGAAAACTATATATCTCTAAAAAAACACTGAAGAAACTACAAAGAACCTCATGACCTGGTTGGAGCTGAGGAACATTCTGCTGCGTAAAGCTATCACAAAAGCACAAATATTATATATAAGACCACGACACTAAAGACAGAGCCTTGCATTGGTGCTCGGGTCATGTAATCTTTTAATATGGCTTCCCAAGCAATGTTGTGGTATGATTACCTAATGTTTATGTACTATTTATCACTCTCTTATTAAGCTCTTCTCCAAAGGAGACCCCACTTCGGATGGGATTACTTTTTCATTTAGCAGGAAATGGGAGAGGCAAAATAATTCCTGCCAAACAGCATTGTCCATGGTTACTCAATTTAATAGACTCTCCAACAATGATGTTTTTAAGGGACCGACATGCCTCATTAGACTTAAGGCTGAAATATCTCGCAGTTGGAGGAAGTAAGTGACTGCTATCCCAGCATGGTGGACTTTGAAGTTATTGGATTCTGGATGAATAATATTACCTCTGAGGTTGCCCAAGAATTGGCAACCTAATACCAACATACATTTGCCATTTTCATATCTTCTTTACTTTTTTGTGACATGTATTAGTTCTGCAGGCACAATTTTCTGTCAGTGAATGAACATTATTGACATTTTTGCTTTGTCTAATCCCTGTTGTTTTCCTAAGCAGGGCTCAGTTGCTTAAATTTTTAACTTGTATAAGTGAATGTTTCAAGTATTTAAGTGTAATAGCTTTCCAATACAAGTACATATTTCTTTTCACACTAGTATTTTAATTTCTATACCATTAGCTATATGAAGGATGCCATTAATAAAATTACTAAATACCCCTTTTGTTATTATTATTTTTCAATCACCTCATGATGCTGCATTTAATGTGGCATGCAGACATATCTGTGTCTATATCTAAACATTGACATAGTTTTACATTATGAATATGAATGGATTTTGAGCTCACACTTAATCCTAAACCCTAATCTAAGAGCAACTCATATTTTATGATATGGCTCTGCTCCATAGTAGCCCTTAGAAAGTGGTCACTTAAGATATGAGTGCTATAGCAAAGTGTGGTGAAAAATCAGATTGTACCCAGCTATCAGAAAGAATACTGTCTGGGGTCTTAAAGGTGTCTTCAACAAGTACCCATCTAAGTGAAGTGCCAGATAAATCCACACACAAGAAGCACACCAGCCTGTGTAATCCAAGGATTTCACATGGTAAAATCCAAGATCAGAGGAGGGAATTGTATTAGAGTTTAAACTCTGAACATCCATCTGCAGAAGGTTGACAGTGAAAGCCCAAAATCTCTTTGCAGAGTCCTCACATGGATTAAGCCTCCATTGGATTCCCTCTTTGAACAGGGATATAAACAGTCTTGTCCACAGGCAGGGTGAATTGGAAAGTGAACCAGTGCAGATTCAGGTAGGTTAAATTTAACAATTTACCATTTGTTTTCCCCTTTGACTTTTTATATTTTTATTACTTTCTGATTTATTTTGGAATGCAGTTTTTCTGTGTTTTAGTTTATTTTGTTGCTTCTTCTTTTTTGTATGATTGCATTTATATGAAATCCAGGTTCTTTTTTTTTATTAAATATATTCATTGGGGGCTCTTACATCTCATCACAACCCACACATTCATCCATTGTGTCAAGCACATATGCTGCCATCCTCATTTTCAAAGCATTCCCTCGCCACTTGAGCCCCTGATATCAGCTCCCCATTTGAAAGTCATTTTTCTTATAATTTACTATATTTTTGTTTATAAGCACAATATCAAAAGAAAAATTTCTTTAACTTTCACTACAATTACCCAACACTGCACTAATAGCTGAGGAGTTCATTGTTAACTGTTGTTACCTGCTTTCTATGCATAATAGAACAAAAGGGGCCATTGGGATCTGTAGGGTTTTCGTTGGTTGATTTTACAAGCAGATCACCAATCTTTTTCCTACTTCCATCCTAGTCTAGAAGCCCCACTGAACCCTGATCAGCTTCCTAGCAATGCCCAGTCCTCCACTGAAAGGCTGGGGGAGTCGGTGGTAGCTACACAGGAGGCGCATCAGATACCAAATGGAAGTAGTGAGCCACTACTTCCCCCACTGCTAAAAACAACCAACACTGATAACATGATCTTGAAGATCTCACAGCCTGACAGCACTTCCTCTTTTCCTCCCTCGGTGACAGTGACAGACATCATGCAACTTCACTAACATGTTGGGCAGGAATAAGAAGTTTGTGCTCTAAATATGTGAGTTGTCCATAACATGCCTCAATCTCAAAACACAAAGTGTCCCACTGTGCTCCAGTGTCGAATGCATTGAGAAGTGAGCAGATATTATTTTGATTGATTCAATTTTTGCTGTGATGTCCAGGGTCCACTCGGTGCCACCACTGAGTTTGTTCATTGATCCATTCTTCCGCTGGACTTTATGAAAAGAGAGATTGTTCACTCAGTTTGTCAGTGATGGAATCCGAAGCTAAATCAGTTCCAGCAAACAAAGAGACTTATTGTCCCACATAACTGAGAAGCCTGGGATGAATGTGTGACATAGTCAGTTTGAGGGGCTCAAAAAAAAAGCAAGTCATGGCCTCTCTATTACTCAGCTCTACTTTTGTATTGGTTTTGAAGGGAGGCTTCTTCTAAACGACACTTCCCAGCAGCAATAGCTCCTCTTCCCTCCTCACCCCCATCCTCATAGCAAGAAGCCCTGCTGGTGTAATGGTTAAACACTTGGCTGCTAACTGAAAGGTTGGTGGTTCAAATCCACCCAATGACTCCACAGTAAAACAACTCCACGATTACAACCAAGAAAATCTTAGGGTGCAGGTCTAATCCACTACAAGGCGGAGTGAGGGTGCTATGAGTCGAAATTGTCCAGTAGCAACTAAAAACAATATTCACATATCTGGAAGCTTCCAAAATGAGAATGACTCTCCCAAGAAATCTTGCGAAAGTCCTAAGGAGTAACCTCATTGACTTTTCTGGGGCCACCTATCCTCATCCCATTCTTCTTAATTCAAAGAACCATGTCTATTTATGGGTGATGCCTGGGAAGTGGCCATTCCAGGAACTGAGGTAATCAATTGGGACACGCCAATGTGAAATGAACATTCTATTGTTAGTGTGAGCAAGTAGTAAAAATAGGCATCAGCTCACCAATGGTTCAACTCCCTCCTCCCCTCCTCCCCCTGCACCACACACACCATTGAATGACATTGAGCAAGATGAATCCGTGCAGAAGGGAAATCATTGGACTGCCCTGAGCAAAGGGGTCCTGGTGGCACAGTGGGTTACCCGTGGGGCTGCCAACTGCAAGATCAGCAGTTTGAAACAGCTGCTCTTTGGGAGAAAGATGAGACTTTCTACTCTGTAAAGATTTAGTCTTGGAAACCCACCGGGGCAGTTCCACTTGGTCCTATAGAGCAGCTGTGAGTCAGAATGGACTTTATGGGCAGTGAGTGACTGAGTGAGTGAGTCCTGAACGAAAAGCTCCCCTGCTGTTTTATGGATGACCTTTTTTCGTAAAGGTCAAACTCACTGTGTCAAGTGAACATGGCCTGATCAACACCGGCACATGACCATAGAGGACAGTGTAGAAAAAAAGTTTCGAAGTTGAACAAGTATTTTGCTTAGTCGGATATCTTCGGCCAACTGAAAGGGACTGAAGTCCAGATGATTTCCTAACTGTGTGGCCTCCCACGCGTCTTGGACACGTGTCTTGGCTGCACTGAGAGTTTCCATTTTACAGAATTAACTATTACCACTTGCTTTCCACTTTGAAAATCCTCTTCCAGCCAAGTCCCCCAGCAAAGACATTATACATAATGAAGTTTGGGGAGAATCATTTGATCCATTACACATCCCCAAGGGTTATTTCCAGGGCCACCTAATGATGCCACATCCTGTTCTTTCTTTTTTTAACAAAACACTTCCAGTGAAGATGTTTTCTTCAGTCACTTCATTTAGAACCACAGATCCTAAAATTGATTTTGTAAAGCAAATAATCAGATGATATTTTGAGGGCTGTGAAAGAAAGAGATCTTATCAACCTATCTTTGGAGGAAGCTTGGGCCCTGTGATGCTTACTTAAACAAATTAAAGACAGGACAGAAAAAATCAGATGATTTAATAATCTGACAAACTTTACTGACAATTCACTTCTACTACTTTGAAAAGAAACACACAATTAAACGGAGATTTTTCTTGGATTTCCACTGATGTTTGGAATTCCTAATACAGACCAGAAAGTGATCAAATGACATTTTACACATCTTTTCTTCAGAGATGCTCTAAAGAATAGGCATCTTGTTTATTTTCCTGAGACAATTATGAGGTGGGGAAGATGCACATTTAATTATTCTTACTTTAGACTAGATTTGCAAGACGCCTACGAGAGAGACACTTTATTGCCTTATTTAAACAGTGAGATAAAAACAATTCAATTTTAAAATGCTTTGCCATTTTTAGATAGCTCAATCATCGAAGTCCAAAAAACATAAAATGAATGCTATGAGTAGATGCAAACGAGAGAAAAAAGTTTAGTAAATAGGAATTCCCTTTTAATTTTTTCGAATTAAAAAAGTGTCTGGTGTGTGGAAGGAAGTAGGGGTTATTACACAAATTTGACGTCATGTAGGGCAATGTACAAATAGATGGGAAGCAGAAAGGTGACCTCAAGCAACAGGACACTGAGTCATGCAGATTGCAAGCCATTTTATTCATCACTGATGTCCGCACGCAGAGCTGCCCAGTAAATATCCACTTCCCCTTGAGAAAGAAAATATATGGCCATGAGATAAAAAGAGCTGAAGAGTGACAGCAGGGACAAAGTCCACAGCAGTAACTGTGGGAAAGTGGATCACAGCAAAATGGAGAAGTCTAAAGGGAGAGCCCAAAGGGAGGGGATATAAGTAGGGATGAAAATAGAGAGCGCTGAGGAAATCAGTGGCAAATGGCTTATGGGCACATGGTCAATACCTCTAGGGAGGGACTAGTGGCAAGATTCAGATTTCAGCCCGGAACCTGATTAGAAGAGGCAGAGGGGAATTGGGATTGACCAGCACGGTTGGGATTCGAAGAGAACACGTAACTGGCACCCCGCCTTATTGACTAATGACAGGAATTTTTAGCATGGAGTTGGTAATGCTGCATTTTTCTAACTGAGTCATGCAAAGTCTGGAAGGTGCTTTTTGCTTAACACTTCCACTTTACTTTCACCATAAACAAACTAAAAGGTACTCTTTTAGCTTTGGGATTAAATTTTCTAGGGGATGTGAAGAAGCTGTGTGCTCGGATAAGATTACAGTGGGAAGAGCTTGTTGAAGCAGGGTTGGCAGTAAGTCTTGTCGTTCTGCTCCTTGAAGATGCCCTTTGACAGCTGTGTCAGGCAGAAAGCACACACAAAGTGCTCTGGGTGGAACTTGTGCCCCATGGCGCTGATGCAGCGGCCAGTGATGGGCTGCCCACATCCGTGGCAGAGGGTTCCCCGGCGGTGATGGTAATGAAGCTCGCAGAATGGTCGTCCATCCAGTTCAAAGAAGGAACCCGTAGAAAAATTGCTGAAGCAGTCCTAGGAGTGAGAAGAAGACAGGAAAGGAAATAGAGACGTCAGGAAGTAAAGTCCTCTGGCCAAGTCAAACTTGGAGTCCTGAAATTCCCACCAGGACCTGCCAGACACAGGGAGTTATTTCACTCGGGCAAATGGGCATTCCAGTAGTGTCCAGCTATAAAACATACAAACGAATGCCTCCCTGCTGAAGAGATGTCATATTTTGTTTCTCCTTAGGAACCCCACATCAATTCTTTAGAAAGGACAGTGAAAAAAACCCTCGGCTTCCTTCCCTTAAATCCAAAAGATAAGAGAGCATACAGACCCCACACACAAAGCATTCTGGGTGCCAGACAGTGTTCATGGCTGATAGGTAGTTTTCCAACACAGGGCGGTTGCAGCCTCCACACTTGGGTGAGAACATGGCTAAGAAATCCTTTCGGCAATATGGCTTCTTGTCCTTCTCATGAAAGCCTGGAAAAAGAGAAATCAAGGATTCACTATTGGTGTTGGAACTTTTAAAGCCAAGTTGGAGCCTGAGAGGGAGCCAACTGATCAACCTCATTGTCAGAAGCCTACGTCAGTTAAGAGAGACCAGCAAAATGCAGGTGGAATATTTTAGTCTTGTGCCTGATTCATTATAATCATGTTAATAAAAGTATTAGTGGACATTCCTTTTTCAATGCCCCTCCATTAACTATTGCCTCGGTCCAAATAGTTCTGCCCTAGACTTTAATCTGGCTGCCTCATTTTGTGATTCAGGAATCAGCTCAAAGATATACTTATCAACGGGGCAAAACGCTAAGGGTGTGCAACAGAGCAGCAAGGCGAGCAAAGCAATGAACTCCTCTACGAATACCAAAAATAGACTTTGGGCAGGGCATGGCACCCCATCAGACTTGGCTGGAAAACACTCCTAAAGGCCAACAAACAGACCTGGAACTATTTATAGGTTTT